GTTCTTACGGCGTAGCTACGAACCATCAGGAGGTACGGGGTACATAGCCAGATCGACTGTGGGTATAAGGTTCAGGAACCCAGCGTTGGAGAAACCAGTGACTAGGGAGGAGCGTATATACTCGGAATTCTGCCAATGGAACTTAATTTCACTCAGGGGTGCTGCTCCAACACAGGCGGCGGAGTGCTTCCTGGAAAGTGTCACAAACCAGGGCATCCCCAGAGACGACGCCATCAACTAAATATTGACTCCCAGTGCTGTGGGCGGTGGTGGTCTGGATGAGACAAGTAGATTCGGAGGAGCAATAGCTAGCAGGCTCCAAGGGGCGAGGAGATGGTTAACCTTGTATGTAGAGAAGAAGTACCGCACCCTTGCAGTGAGGCGCGGGTGTTGGGACAAAAGGATAAAGGACACCGAGTGGGAGCCGGATATACTATCCCAGCGGAAGTTGGATGCATCACTGGCGCAAACACGGGGCTACCGAGAGTCATCACTCATCCAGAGTGAAAAATGTGAATTTGTGGAAGTAGCACCAACGCAGTACCGCCGGGAGGTTTCACTCCTAATCCCGATGACATCTGGGACCTGGGCCACGTGCCAGTGCAAATCCGAGATCACATAAAGAGGCAGTCAGTGCGCGAGGGTACCGAGTGGTTGCACATGCATACTGCCTCTATGCCAGTGGTGCAGGCCATGCAAAAACGGATGTCTCGCAACGTGTACGAGAGGTACATACTCGGAGACATAGTAGCACCGGGCCCACTGGTTGAAAATGTGGGCAACCGGTACGGCCATAAGGCGAAGAAGTGGGCCAGCAATATGATAAGTGCTGCCTTGGTAGTAAAGAACATAGGACTGAAGGCACAGGCAGGAACATGGTGGGGAACCATGAGAGCGTTGGACTTGCCATGGCAAGAGTTCAGGTCCGAACTATTGGAGAAGTTCAACGGGGACGAGTTGCAGCCGAGTCTGCAATCAGAATTGCTGAGCACCGCTCAGACCAAGACCGAAACACTGGGGGAGTAAGTCCTACATAAGTACCAGTTGTATCGGAGGTTAAACCTTGGTCTGACAGAAGAAGCGGTGGTAATGACAGTGATTGGGCTCATGCGTGACGAATTTAGAATTCATGCACGTATACAGCGACTGAAATCGTTCAGCGAATTACGAGCGCTTGCCCATGTACTGGATGGTAGCAAGGCCGTAGTATCGGATAAGGCGGGAGCGAGCACCAGCGTACCACCAAAGTTAAAATGGTTGGATAAACGAAAAGTTGAGAGTGCTGGAAAATCCCAAGTACCGAATCCGAAGCAACGACTATCTTCGGGAGCAGGATGCAAAGTTTGTGGTAATCATGACCACTGGCAAGCTTCATGTCCAAAAAGAAAGTCGGAGTCGGGAAACGCCAAAACGACCGGCGGGACCGCCGGGTCCCGGCCGGCCAAGAAGTAATCGGCGGGAAAATCACGAGTCATCCGAAGAGAGGTAAGCAACGGAGTTCAACGCGGGCAGTGAGTATTGTTCCGGTACAGGAACCACAAGTTACAAGAACCGACCTGGGAGAACGGAACTTCGGAGCGTTACGGACCGGAGACCCGGGAAAGGGCCCAAAGAAATCGGGCCAGACGAGTTCTGAACCGGCGAAATCCGGTAAGAACGGAATTCCTCCGGAGAAAAACTTTGGTCACCCGAAGATTACCTCCGGAGTGCGGATCTGCCCGGTGAAAACCGTCGAGCCTCCGGAGAAACACCGGAGAAATCGCCGAAATCACCCTAGGAAAACCATTGCAAACGACGTTCCGGTGGAGGAACCACAGTTCGTGACAATGGACCGGGTAAATGGTTCGGTGATGGAAACGGTTTCCGGCCAGCTGGACAACAGGTCGGGAAAATCTTTAAGGATCGAAAATATTCCGGACAAATGTGAAAATCTCACCGAGGTGAGTTATCTTTCCAATAACAATGTCGCGGACAGTATTTCAGGTGATGCGGAACAAGATGAGTTAACACAGGAGTTGTTAATTTGTCCGGTCACATCCGAAGATTTTTCAGAGGAGTTTATTAATTATCCACGGGAAAAATGCAAGAGGAGAGACTCAGATACGGACTCAAAGTTTGAGTTGAGAGAGAACGTTTCTCGGTTTCTCGGGCCTACAGCCATTGCAACGGTGTCAATGGGGAAAACTAAAGTAACGGATGTTCCGTTACCGGCCATTGAACTAGAGTTTGCACTCGGGGCAGTAGTAGCGCTACTGGACTCCCAAGCGGCGAGGACATACGTCAAACCGTGGGTGGCAAAGAAGTTTGGCCGAAGTTTTACCGAAGAACCGGAGATTGTCCGTATGGCGAACGGTCGGACCCGAGAAGTTACGGAGTTTTCCGAATTTCGGGCCCAAATAGTGGATATGGAGGTAAACTTCAGAGCGGCAGTGTTAAACGATATCATTGGAGATGTCTTTCTGGGCCATGATTTCCTCGTGGAGCAACAAGTAGCTTGGGACTACAGTGGTTGCATAATCCACCTGGGGAAAGAAAGACGTGTTTCCGTGAGTTGGAGAAATCCAGTAACTCCGGTCACCGTAGGAGTGGACTTAACAACCGCAGGTTTACCCGAAGGAGAGTACGGTATGCGGGTCAAAGAAGTCCTATACCAATATCCGGAGGTATTCTCCGGAGAAGTAGGCAGAACTCGGGTGATAGAGCACCAGATCCGACTCAAGGATAAAAATCCGGTGGCTCTAAACGCTTACGGGTACTCCCGAGAGAAAAACGAGGTGATTGCCGAAATGGTGCGAGACATGGAGGAACAGGGTTTTGTTGAACCTAGCATATCTCCATGGGCTGCACCGGTGGTACTCGTGAAAAAAAAGAATGATTCACGTAAATTTTGCGTTGACTATCGCCGTCTGAACACGCAGACGGAGTCAGACGCTAACCCGATGCCGGATCTCCATGACATGGTCCGAGGAATGGGTGGAGCGAAGATTTACAGCACCATGGATTTGAAATCAGGATATTGGCAGGTGGGTCTCTCACCAGAGACACGTCCACTCACGGCGTTCAGGACCCAAAGAGGATTATTCCAGTTCAGGGTAATGCATTTTGGATTAAAAAACGCACCCGCCACATTTTGTCGCTTGATAAGCGAAGTCTTCCGTGGGTTAGTTGGTAAATTTGTGTTGGTTTATTTGGATGATATTGTGGTATACTCTAAGAGTCCCTGTCAACATCTAAACCACTTGCAGAGAGTCTTGGAGCGACTCCAGTCTTACGGTCTGACGTGCCAGCCAAAAAAATGTACATTCGAGGTGACACAGATCAAATTCCTAGGTCACGTCGTGGACGGTGAAGGAATAGACCGGGAGCCGGAAAAACTGACGGCGATTCAAGAATTACCGGTTCCAAAGAAGACTAAAGACGTGTTAGGCCGAGGCTATACACGGCGTTTTCCGCCGCGTTTCGTACGCCGCGTATTCCGCGGCGTTTTCCGTCGAAATCAAAACTCATTGTTTTATATTGAAGTAGCTATACACGACGGATGTAATACGCCGCGATTCAATCCGCGGCGGAATACGCCGGTCGGCTTGCGTTTTGGCGGACGAACGCCGGAATAATAAAAACGCAAACTGCTAATTTTATATTGTTTTAAATTAGGGTGGGCTATACTGGTGACGGAAAACGTCGCGTTTATACCATAATTTTATTATTACAATAATTTTACGTGAATATTCAATATTTTATGAATTTGCTTTAATTACTCAATAAATAAAAGATTATATATTTCACATTTAAAAAGTACCATCTAAAAAGCGAATAAGTACATTATATTAATTAATAATTGGTGTTTATAACTTGTGGTTGATTACCTAATTTTAATTTATGGGAGTATAATATTATGTTAAAGAACAATTTTCTAATAACAATTGTAAAAAAGTTCAATTTGTAGTGTCGTCAAAAAAAGTGGTAAGTATATAAAACTGCATTGAAGTCTTCTCTCATTCTCCCCCCTGACCAAAACTTGCGAATTGAGTACCTAACGTAAGAAGAATTGGGGAAGCATTTGGAACTTAGAACACTTTTGTGAATAAAATGACCTATATTAAAAACAAAAGATAATAATTGGCTGTATAATATACATTAACTATAGATTTCAATGAAAGTATGAAACTAAATAATATTTTCCATCATATTATATAATAGGTATCGTCTATACTCTATATATTTATAAATTTAAAATTATACCAAAGTATAAGCTAATCAAAATTAGTTAAATGTTTCCAACAATTGTCAGAAAAAAAAATGAAACAAGCTAATAATAAATTAAATTAAATGATTTCTGTTATATCGAGACTATAACATATAATACACTATAATATATAATATATATGATGGGATATTAAAACTATTTATACAAATTATTAATGAAAATCTATTTTAATAATACGCGGATTATTTTTCATACCACCGTGCTGTAACACACAGTTCAGTGTTCACTGTTCACCAACCGGTCTCGAGCTGTAGTAATATTTTGAAATTTATAATATTGTTAAAAGCTGTCAATAGGTAAGTAAAATTATTATTTTTTAATCGTGTTTAAAAAAAGTAATACAAATTAATTGTAGATATTATTGAATTTAATTTTCTACATAACAGACAAAAAACATGTCATTTGATACTGATCATTTCATAATATCAATTGAACAAAAAAAAAGTATTTGGAACACATCATGTTCGGACTATAAAAACCATGATGTTAAAATAAAAGATTGGGAAGAAATTGGAGAGACTATGAATAACAATTTTAAAGATTTGACGGAAAAACAGAAAGAAGAATTCAGTGAGTACATTATAATTATATTATTTATAACCACAATTGTTAATAAATTTTAATTTTAATTTAATCACGTAATAATACTTATACACTCATGATGATATACATTATTAGTAACCTACCCAATACGTCATAAAAATACATATTTTATTATTTTTTATATAAATTATTAAATTTTAAAATATTGCCACTCCAACTTGCCTTCTGGGCTATTAAAATATTTAGCATAATATTCTCTAACGTCCTTAGCATGTGTACCTGATGACCCTCGAAATATGATGTCTATTGGATCCAATTCACAACAAAATGTTTCTTCATAATTGATTCCGTCACGTCTTCGTACAAAATTATGTAAGACACAAGCACCTTTAACAATTATTTCGGCAAAATCAGGTTCCACAAGCAAAGGGGTATGAAACACTCTCCATTTATTGGATAGTATCCCAAATGCGCATTCTACAAAACGCCTAGCTCTCGATAACCGCATATTAAAAACTTTTTTCTGAACATCAAAATTTTTCCTAGGATATGGCCTCAATAAGTTTTGGTGTAACCCAAACGCTTCGTCACCAACAATTACGAAAGGTTGTTCTTGACCGTTGTCATCATTTGGAAGTTTTCTAACTCCGGGTACATTCAATTTATTTTCGTATAGTTGTTTTCCTAGGGCAGATCGTTTAAATATATGACTATCTCCTTCTCGACCATATGCACCTACATCCACTGTCAGGAAACAATAATTGGAATCAACTAACGCCATAAGAACGATAGAAAAGAATTTTTTATAATTAAAAAAGTCTGTTCCACTATGTTGTGGACTTATTATACGGATGTGCTTTCCGTCCACTGCTCCTAAGCAGTTTGGAAAGTTGGCAGTGTTATAAAAACCTTCCGCAGTGTTCAACCATATTTCCTTTGTTGGTATAGGCATCTCTAAGGGTTGTAATTTTGTCCATAATACCAATAAAGTTTCCTTTATTATCACACGAATCGTGCTTTTTCCAACAAAGAAATCCAAATGTAATTGATTGAAAGAAGCTCCAGTTGATAAATACCTGGTAAAAATAATAATCATTACTTAATTTTAAGATTTAAAAAACACTCATAAATGCCCATCCTTGAGTATTAATTTAGTTTTCAGTCTTGGACATTTTATACAATATTAATTATATTTTTTTTTATAAAAACGTAGGTACCTATAAAATAAATTCTAAATTAATCAAATTAGATTCATTATGTTACGTGGAACCTTGTATCAAATTTCCAATCCTTAGCTATAAAAGTTAAACATTTTATAAATTTTTAACAACTGAAGAATTTGTAAATTTTCAATTAAATACATTTCGTCAAAATTTGAACTTAAAATGGTTATAAAAAAAATTCGTGTCTATGTATTTCTAATATTTCAAACTGCTATTATATTAACTTATGGGGAACCTTGTATTAAATTTTCAAGTTTTTTGACACAACGAATAAAATTGTAAGGTCATTTATAAAAAAAAAACTAAAAAATATTGAAAATTTCAAATGTTTATAAATAACTTATAAAGATTTGAAATTGTTTGAATATTTTATCATGTATAGAAAATGCCTGTATAAACATTCAGTGAAAATTTCATGTTTCTACGGTAATTAGTTATAGAGTTACACCAATATCTAAAATTGAATTTTTCAAAAATTGATTTTGCGTAAAAATTCCCGTTTTTTCTTTATTTTATTTTTTTTGGTTTTTCCCAGCGCTTTTGAAAACTATTGGAAATTTAAAAAAATGACCTCCTTAATGCATCAACTAGATTCAATTTTGAACCAAATTTTGAAAATCAAAGCATTATTTCGACGAGTTATCGTGTACCCAGACACAAAAAAATTTAAATTAAAAAAAAAAACCACACAACATTGTAAAATCAATACATTCATCGCTCCACTCAGAATATAAAATGTAATACAATAATATTTTAAAATCATGTTTTCCTACATTCAATAAAAACAAACGAGTTTGCCAGAAAATTAAACAAATTTTTTTAAAGTGTTGGAAGTTTAATTTTTTCGACATTGAATTTTCAGAATTCTTATTTTGTATTGCAATTGATAATAAATAACTGTAGTTAGGTAGGTACTTAAAATGTTTACTAAATATTTATTTATCATTTTCTATTAATCATTCATTTAATACAAGCAAAGAAATTTTTTCTGCATTCAATGATTTTATAAATGTGCATTATATATATATAAACATATTGCAATTTCAACACATATTGCAGCTTGCAATTTTAATTAAATATATTTTTCTCAATATTGTTTTAGTTAAAGAACTTCAAAAGAAGTGGAAAAGTTTACGTGATGCATTCAGAAAAGAACATACCAAGTACGATAGATCAGGTTCTCGAGCATCAAAAAAAGCGAAATATTGTTATTATGATGCTTTGTCATTTTTAACACCGACATTTGAAGTTCGACAGTAAGTTTAACCTATTTAAGTTACAAAATAAACCAACTATATATTTATTACTTACTTATAATATAGGATTAATAGTCATAAATAATGTATTGATTTTACAATGATATGTGTATGTTTTCTTTTTAAATTTTGTGTGTGTGTGTGTGTGTGTCGTGTACCCGATAAATAGTCAAAATAATTCTTCGATTTTAAGCTTCATTATATTTTCCGGTGAGAAAATGAATCTAGTTGGTTCTTTCAGGACGACAAGGGGTAAAATTTTCAGTAGATTTCATAACCACCGGAAAAAAACGAAAACAAATTAGGGAAAAACGTGATTTTTGACAAAATCGATTTTGGTTTTTGGTATATCTATAACTTTAAAATAAAACACCATATATAAAATATTCACTGAATGATCATATATGGTATTTTTATACACTTAACAATTTTCAAAATATTATGACTTATGTTGAACTATTTATAGGCTAATACAATTTTCAATTACTATTATTATTTTTTCGATTATTGATAATCACAAAAATTTCGCTTTGTCAAAAATATTGAAAATGTAATACAAATAGGTTCCTCATAAGTTTTTAATAGTAGAAATTAAAAAAAAAACTATTTGCGCGTAAATCTGAATAATTTTGAATGATCATTTGAATTTCGAATTTTGACAAAATATATATTGTGCTTTGTGCTAAAAATTCTTAAAAAACCTCTTTTTAAATATCAGATTTGAAAATTGTATACGAGATTTATCATGTTTGTTAAACTTTATAAAAAAAAAGGGGTCAAGTGGATGTCGCTCTGCTGTACAGTAGGTTACAAGTAGATCACTGCAGTAGAATGGATGGTATTAAATTTGAATTCAATGATATATCATTGTATACGAAAAACGATTCTGAGCAGAGACGGTATGCTAGTCTAGGATATTTTAAATTGTATTGATGTTGTTATTATACGGTAGCTGGTAAGTTGAATTAATATTATTCATGTATTTAATTATTAACTTAAAATTATCAGTGATGCTGTAAAAATATTATAATACCTCTTTACTTTTACATAAGACACAATTCAACAGGAAAAGTTGTCATTATAATATATTATTTAGATTTTTCGGTTACAGAATTACTTACGTGGAACTTTGTTTTAAATTTTCAATCCTTAAATATAAAAACTGAACATTCTATAATTTCTTAATTACAATGATTGATAATTTTCGAGATTTTGATAAATGTTGTCAAAATTCGATCTTTAAATATTATTCGTAGGTACTTGAAACTTTCAAATTATACTATTATATATATAAATAATATATAAATTCAACCTACCGGCTACAGATGATATTATAATAACACTATAAATATAATATAAAATAAAATATTATTGGTCGACAAAATTTAATCGTCTCGACTGAGAATCGTTTTTCGTATACAATGATATATCATTGAATTCAAATTTAACACCTACATTACCGCGACCCACCATTCAATATACCATATAACCTAACTCACTTGTTCACTTTTTTAATTTCAGAACCTCGGGTAATATGTCACTATTTTCTCTAGAAAATACTATGGAAGATGACGACGCAGTAGAAGTATCACTAGATACTGGGGCTGCAGCTGCAAACGATGACCCTTCGAATTTGACTACAAATATTGATGCATCAATGAACGAACCATCAACAACATCGATGTCGGGGAAAAAAAAAATTATAAACAGAAAAAATAACGATTCACCTTCAATATTTCAACAGCGACTTGTAAAAGTTTTGGATAAATCCCAGAATCAAAATGATGATGGTGATGATGACAAACATTTTCTTCTGTCATTATTACCGGAGATGAAAGCAATCGATAACGCCAGTAAAATGGATGCTAGGATTGAACTGATGCAGGTCGTAAAAAAATATTCAAAAAAACGTCCAGCCGAATCAGTTTCGCCATATTGTCTACCCCTTCAACCAATTCAATATTCGTCATCTATTCCAGCATTGAATACAACAAACGACTATACCTTGCAAGTTCCCGATAATGTAATTCCCAGGTCAAGTAACAACTGGCAACCTCACTATTAGCTCAATATGTATTTTCATTTTTTTTATTATTATTAAAAGCATAGATGTTAATATAATTTTTTTAAATATAATGCTTGGTATTTACCATTTTTTAAATTTGCATACAAGTATATAAAGTATTTAATTTTGATTTTATTGGAAAAGACAACAAGAAAATAATAAATCTATTTATTCAAATAAAAACTTAGCACTTACTTTAATGTAATCGATAACCTTTCCACTGCCGGTATTGTATCACCTTTGATATTTTGCTCTTTTTCCAAGTCACTTTTTACAATATTTAAAAGCTCATCAAATGTTTTTACAGACATTTTGTAATAACTAAAAAATTTTTCTGGAAATCGTCGTAACTCTTCGTATATTATATTGAATTGGCCCTTTTCTGCCCTTTTTTTCCCGTAGGGATGTACCGCAAACCTCCTGTTTAAAGTTGTCTCTACTTCTTCTTCCAATGCCTCATTTATAGCAATTATTAGCGCTGGTGTAATTTTCGGCATAATGTAAACGGTAAACCTTGTCCTACGAACTGACTACTGCAAATGGTCGATCGATGAGTGGCTAATACTCTAATGTCTATTATTAATTTGTGCTATTCGAATGCGATACTGTAATATTTATACTATTGATACAATAATTATGGGATTTACCATTTTTTTTAGATATTGTACAAATATCCGCGGCGGAATACGCTCGACGGATACGCCTTGTATAGCTAGTCCGTCGGAAAACGCGGCGGAAAACGCCGTGTATAGCCCCGGCCTTAGGCGTTTGTGGTTGGTACAGTCAGTTCGTGCCACACTACGCCGAGATCACAGCACCACTCACGAGTCTGTTGGCCAAAGGGACCAAATGGCGTTGGTCAGAAATTGAGCAAGAGGCGTTCCGGAAGTTGAAGGAGTCTTTGGTGTCCGCACCACGGCTCTGTCCTCCTCTTCCGGGTAAGCCATTCAATCTACAGACCGACGCAAGCGAAATCGGTGTGGATGGTTCGAAAGTGAAACTGTTCCAAAGAGTCGGCGTGCGTAGCGTGGTTGAGACGTCCGTATGGCATTTCGTCATCAGACTTCAAAAATTAAGCACGGATTCGTATAAACGCGCTGCCAACTCGCAAGCGTGTCAATTGAGGTAAGCAGGGCCAGGTGAGATGCCGCACCTGTGCTGCCCCGTTTGAAAAGCTCTCCCACATTGCACAAAGTTGACCACGCTCGCATGAGGGGCGCATAATGTGACATGACTGCCTAGTTAAAAGCGGGATTGGGGTACTTGTCCCGAAATTTCATGGAGAAAAAAAAAAAGAGAAAAAAGAAAAAGAAAAAGATAACCCAACCTAGCCAACCGCCAAATGAGTTCAAATTTTCAATTCAGAATTTAGTATTCCTAAATGCGCCGTCTTGAAATATATATTCAATTATGTATTTAATAATTCCCGCGTTTTTACATCT